GAAACAAACTACCCCATCCTCAAAAGATTTTCTCCACCTTCTCACCTCCAAAACAACAACAAAACACCAGAGCATCCGAGAATTTTTTAGTTTTATTTTGCTTGTATATTCAACGCAGAGACTTAACAATTACAGGTTAGAAAACCCATTTGAAAACAGTAGGGCCACGTTACGACAAAGGTCTGGCCAGCATTAATCTAGTGTTTGGAAAACAGTTGACAGCTGCGAAGGTTTCCCCCTTTCCTTCCTTTCCTTTAAAAATAAACCCTTTCAAATCCCAGACCCCATCTCGGTTTCTCTGGGTAGAGTCCCTTCTCTCTCTTTCCAGTTGCATGAAGGGGTGAATTGAAAAATCATTTAATTATTTTCATTCTAATCGCCTTAATCCCCCTTATACTAGGAGCAAATGATGATAATGGGATCCACATGGAAAAGACCCCCGGGAGAGGGGGATTAGGGCAGAATATTCTCCCGGCCCTGCACCCTGGCAGGTGGAGACCAGCGGGGCGGGGCTCGCCTCGGCTCTGCTCTGCTCGACTCCGGCGGGGCTGGGGGTTTGAACATACAAAAAAATATTGGAGTAAACCTCCTCAATCTGTGGGTAGCTTGCTTTTTATTATTTCATTTTTGCTCCAGGTGACACAGCTGTAAAGTGACCCGCTTGTCACCCTGGGGGGACAGGGGACTCTCCTGAAACAGGGGAAGAAAAAACAAGACACCGCTCCTCCCCCCTTCCCGCGATCCCCCCGCCTCTTCGGAGCCTGAGCAACGACAAGCTGATTAATCTTCCCGGGTCGCCCTCGCAATCCCCGAGGGCCGCTCCGCTTAGCCGCCATCCGCGGTCCGCGAACGTGCAAATCCCCCGGCTGCGGGGGCTCCGCTGTAGCCCAGGGAGGAGGAGGAAGGGCCAGTCGCCGTCGGCACTATTTAGAACCACCGCCGCAACACTACTCCCATTTGAGGCTGCAGGAACAGAGCCAACAGGGCGATCACCGGGCGCTTGGTTTTCTTTGGGTGTTTTCAGATCTGTACAAACACTGGGCCTGCCGGTTTTTATAAACAACTTTCGGGACGCAGTCAATCAATCATACTGGCAAGCAAACAGACCAGGAGCCTAGGATATATACAAGGCATAAATATACACATATACACTTTGTCTTCTTTGAAGGAGTTAGATTTTTTTTTTTCTAAGAGAAACCCTATCTATAAAGATTCTGACAAAGTCAGGAAATCACAGTGAAAAAGTAGGAGGTATTGTTAGGCAGTTATGTTACATTGTATGCTTTAATACCAGCAAGGGAAATATTGGAAAAGAGAAAGAAAAAAGCATCTAACCAATTTGAAAACTTAAAAAACAATATTACGCTTACAGTCAGAGAGACAATTTCAAGAATACGTGGCTAAAAAACATGAAATGTGGTCATTTTAAAATACAGTGCAATACATACATCTGGAAAAGACATGAGTTTACCAGATTTGCTAGTCAGCAAAGTGTTCTTTATGTTGCAGTCATTTCTAGCCTCACTTTTTAATTTGAAACATATTTGTATCCAAGGATAGGTCCTTGGGAATGCCCTGTGTTGTTTTGGTTTGGTTTTTTAAATGATCTTTTGATAATAAGAGCCCTGTATAGCATGGAGTTTGTGCCCTCTCTTTCTGACACCGAGTCTTTCGTTTGCAAAAGGACATGAGTGAGCGAGGAGTCCATAGCACAAAGAATGCAACAGATCTGAACATCCCAGTAATGCAGAAAGTATAGTTAGGGTAGGAAAAGCTGATCAGGTGTCAGGACTTAGAAGAGCATATTCTGTGCTGATGTAAATTAGGAGATTCACAGATATAGAGGACTGGTTGGTGCTGCAGAAACGGTGTGTTGTTCTTAATCTGCCCTGCCATGATCTGAAACTGTGGCCCTTTCTGGACAGTGAGATTGAGGAAAGCCTGGGGAATGATGCTCACAGAGGAGAAGCTGTGCTCTGGCAGAGAGCATCAAGAGAAGCTTTTTCCAACTGGTGAAACCTTCCAAACAAACTTGTAAAATTGAGGATCAGTGTTGGATTTGCTCAGGAAAGACCTTGTGGCTGCATTGCTTCTATGGAACCACTGAAAAGAATAATTTTCTCTTTTTGAACTTATTGCATTTGTTGTGCAAGTTTTCCTACCAAGAATAAACTTGGTATTTGGTAATTTCACTCCACGGTTGTCATCTGTTAAAACAAATCCTATAAGGAGCCTAAGCCAAATACTACTCATGTCAGGAAAGCGGGTTTTGGTGCTGCCCTTCCAAGCTGATTGGGTCTTAGAGACATAAATAACAGGGAAGTTGTTTCATTGGCTTTTCAGAAAGATGTGTATGGTCAGCAGAATAGGGACTGGGCTTACATCTACGACCCCTCTTTTAAAGACCTGTGTCTAAAACGGATTGGATTATTTGCTTGCTTAAAGGCAGTTCCATTTTCATATAACAATTTATACTTATCATCATGTAAGTGAAAGCTTTAGCAATCAAAGCTTTATTCTTGCAGACCTGAGGTATCATTTTCCACAGCAATGTATTATGGAGTCCTTTGACAGAAACTTGCCTTGATTTGTGATGTATAAGACTGACACAATGAGTGATAAATGTATTAAATGACAATTTCCAGTTAAAATAGTACATGAAATACATAGTCATTAAAATAGTATCTGAAGACTCTGCAAATGCATAATAATTTTGATGTAAGTGATTTTAATGTTATGGAAAAACTGTGAAAGCCCACACACTTTCTTATCCTCAAAGATTCAGTCTTTCCCCCTCTTCCCCCAAGAGAAATGATTATTAAGATTGATATAAACAAGCTTCTCTGGAAAGAAAGAAAATGAAAAAGGAGGAAAAGGGAGAGAATTATACAATACACATACCTAACAGTATAAACAACTCCACCCCTCATCCTCCAACCTGGCTTTCTTCAGCCTTTTGAGCATTTTTTCTAAAATTCATGATATGGCAAGTGACAAATGTCTTTCCGGAAGATCTGACAATGCAACTGGCTCACCAAAGACTGTTTGTGAGAAGTGCTGGCCAGAGCAGACAGGTTACTATTCATCAGCCTCTTAACAGACAAATTCTCCTTTGCTACATTATGTGGTACACCTATACACTGAAAACTGGCTATGAAGGGGGTGAAACCAAATGGACACTTCAATCATTGCTTGAGAAGATTAGGTTTTACTAAAACTGAGACACCTTTTCTTTTACATCAATATTCTGCCATACCTGTACAGGTGGGACTCTGCTTTTTGTTTTACAGATCTCCTATGCTTTACAGGCATTGAATTTTACAATTTCTCTTTTCTCTGAGGTTAAATGCTTTCTGGCACTACTTGTATTAAGTATGACTTACACTACTGGTAGTAAGCATAAAGACTCCAAAGAGTCAACCTGCTTTTGCTTCCTTCTTTATTGAGAATAGATTATCCCAAAAGATTTGAGAACACTGCTATGTTTCCATTGATAACCAGTGACGCTTATCAGCTTAAACAGTGTGTTGAGACAATGGATCTGAGAAGGTGAGGCATTAAAGATACTTCTAACCTTTTGCTTCTTCCAAATTCCAATAACATCTTGACTCTACTCCTTTGAGTTACTGATTTGCTTTTGACAGCAGTGGGGCAACAATTTTACTAGGGTGTAACTTGTTAGCTGTCTTGTAAGGATAATGCAGATAAGCTTCTCCAACTATTATCTCATATTCTGTGTAAAATTCTTCTTAGTTCAAGTATGTAGTGAACAACTTCTAAAATAGACTAAAGATCATCAATCAGCATTCATTAAATTAATTTGAGGATCACTTTGGAATGGATTGATGTAAAACTGTATGATTGGCAACATGGGCTTCCTTTTCTGTTCCTTTTGTATAATAGAATAACTGTCTGTTTTTAGAAAATATTGATACTGAGAGTACGTTTTAACTGCTAATTTCTCTTTTATCCGTTATTTAACTACTGTTAAGAAATTACAGAGAACACTTTATATTTTAAAAATAACAAAAATACATGCAGTCTATTTACTAATTTGGTGGAAGAGGACTAGACTGCAAAGGAAGACTGCTCAGCCTCCCTGTGGACAGCTGTGGAGAGGTGCAGAGGTGTTGGGCAGGGCAGTAAGGCTGTTATGTTACTGCAGGAAAGAGGGAGGATGAGGTCTGAACAAGTCTGGGACCAGGTATCCTCTTACAGAAACCAGTAATCTCACCTCTTCAAAACGTCTGTCATCTGCATTAAAACCAACAAAACTTTAGTTTTAATGAAAAATCTTATCAAAGAACATTTCTTCCCTTGGCTCTTTCCATTTTACTAACTTGAATCTTTAGACTCAGATCATAAATCTTGATTTATGTTCGACAATTAATGATTTTAAATGAAATCTATCTTATATAGGAAATCAGAACGTCTGTCTATGTACCATTTAAAACTCCAAATTAGGCTTGTAAGTGATTTTCAGTATATGTTATGCAGCACTATGTACACTGTGAACACTTAACACCAAGAAAGGGAAATCATATACTAATACATTTACTTTTTAAAGGTTGAAAAAGAATTTAACAAAAGCTGACTTCTGTATGTGACTTCTGTATTTTATTACATATCTAAATATCTATACATATCCCTACATATCTATAGGGAAAAAGATTCAAGCATTTTTTATTATATTTTTGCAGTGATAAATGAATGTTGAGTATTTATTCTAAATTTCTCTCCTATGCCAAGGGAAAAAGCAAACCAAACCAAAAAAAGTCCAGCTTTTGCTAGTACAAAATCAGAAATGACACTGTCAGACTTGACAGCATGGAGCAGTAGCAAATACATTTATTGATATAAATTCCTAAGTGGAATATAGAAACAAGAAGTTACACTTAATGTAAAAAAATACATCATCTTGATTGTGACTAGGAAGCACGCTGAGAGATGCACTTCTCCAGCACTACTAATGCAGTTCCGTGATTTTCTTGCTTGTTTCATTACACAGGTGATTTATGCTGCCCGAAGGCAAGTAAACTTCAGAAGTTCTCCAGTTATAAAAATATATTTCAATTCAATTGTGTTGCATGTAATGAAGACAATTAGTCTGAATTCTGGATAGGAAGACGGGGAAACTGCAGTTGTGAAAATAGTTAACACATAAGAAATAGCTAAGATAAAAGTCATGCAAAGAATAAGTGTGCCATTGTGGCTCATAAGGAGTATGTTCTGCCTAGTGTAGTAGAGCAGTACTAAGTCTTTTTCACCATCTACATCACTGTGAAGCCTCACAGAATTTTTGGCCTGCTGAGTTAATTGATAGAACTGGTGTATAAAGGGGTCCACAGGAGTGAGTGTAAGGTCAGTTTGTTGATACAGTGTTATGTGACTGCAGAAAGACTTTTGCAGCACAGGCAGGAATGTGTTTCCTTGAAAGGGGAAGGCTGCTTCTGAAATTAAAATAGTCTTTTCAGTTTTTGTGTATTTCATGTGTTAAGGAGAACATAATGCTCAAGCTGTAGACCAACAGAACAAATTTCCACAAGGAAAGCAAAAAAGGCAAATTGTAAATAATTTTCAATATCTACCTTACATTTCAAAAGAATTACTAATTTTCTTATGTTATGGTCCTGTACGAAAAGTATTGTGAACTTTTCAGATTCTGGCACACGTGAACACAGATGCATTTGCCTTGAGTCCAACAGAGCATTCCTAGCAACCTATTGGCGTGTGTAGTGCTCAAAGGATGAGAGCCTACTAACGAAATGTAGATGGTCTTTCTCCAGAAAAACTTAGCTAAACAAGTTTTGATATATATTTTTCCCTGTTAAAGAATTTCTCCTCTGCATGGATTATAGTATTTTCCATAAGGTTAATAATAAAGGCTGTGCTTGCTCTGAAAACTTCAGTTTACACTGGTACCCACTGTCAAAAACAGACTATTGAAGTAATGAATGAGGTTCACTTCCTCAGCATGTGTAAATGTCCCAACTTACAGTTAAACTTTCAACAGCTGAAAGACAATACCATTGACATGTACCTGGCACTAGTTACTCAGGTTTATTTTTTCCTGGAAAGCAGTTTAGGGCGACAGAGTGGCGTCCGGGTTTCCCAGGTTGTTGTGCTGACAAACTGCAGTGGTGGTAAAGGCAGGGAGTCTGACAAAATCTCATTAATCATTTTAAATTAAATCCAACATTCCTCTCCAACACTGCCAAGAAGAAAGCTAACTTTTACAAATGAATACTCTCTCTGAAAAGAACTGTTATCCTGACCATGTTGCTTTCACATAAATAAGCTTGATTTTTTTTAGGTACACATACTCTATTAATAAGCAGTATTTTTAAGCTTAAAAAATAATGCATTTGTTGCATTATTAGGAATTTGAAAAATACTTTTTGCTCATTTTCTGTATTAGATACTATGAGTGAACCACATAGCTGAAAATTAGAGCCTCTTCCTTCTTTCAATGAATTGCAGTTTTTTGCTTTTGTAAAATTGTAAATACAGAAAGTTCCTTTTTAATTTAAGTACATTTCACATATGAAATGGAAATATTCTGTGTAAAGATTTTCTAATCCATCTTTTCTCTAAGCCTATTTATATGAATAGGAAAGGAAAACTGCAAATCTACTAACATTATGCCAGCAAAAACAGAGATGATGAAGGAGCAATGTGATCTTTTTAAAGTTTTTTACATACACATTTCTGAAACCAATCCTAGCTATTTGGGTATGATTTAATTGTGCATATTGTATGGCAAGTCTGAACTTTAACATCTGATAAATAGTATCAGAATATCATCTAAAACTTTATCCTATTAAAATCATTATTACATGTAGATTATAGAAGTTTGGATATTATTTCTCTTTAAGGCAAAATGAAACCATAATGTGCCTATGGGAGACACAGGAAATACTTTAAGTCTGTTATTTTTCCATTTTAATAGTGCTTTTGAGCTTTGTTACTCAAAAGGGCAGATCTTACAATGGCAGAGAACAAGTCATCAGCCTTAATGTTTATGAGATCTGATACAACCATGAAATACTTGAAAAGAAAAAAAATCCCCATCCAACAGAAGTCAAGTAAATTCGACTTTTCTAAATACTTATTATTGTTATTTTGACATTTTAACATGATCAAGTAGGTATACCTTAATTTTGTTTAGGTACTTAAAATAATTTAATACTTGTTTTCCAAAAACAGAACTATAAACAAATACTGAACAATGACATCCTTACACAGAGAACACAATTATAACCACTTCAAAAAAGAGCAATTCCTTGGCAATTTTTATCTAAAGAACATTAATAAACTGCCGAATACTGAAGAGGAAACATTTATTTGCCCAGCTAGTCAGTTTATTTTCCTAAAGCTGTATTTTTGAACTGTTTATAGTTTTTCTTTTTCCAATGTGGGGGGGTGAAAGGGAAAGGTTGAACAGAACAAATTGAAACTTTTTTCCTGAATGCGATATTCTTTCTTACTTCAAAAGTGACAAACATATTTCTTACTTACATTTGTTTGGGCTTTTGTATATTGAAGTTTAAATTTAATTTAAATTTTAAAAAGTCAAAGCTGTATAAATGTGTTGTTTAGAGTTTGAATGGAAAGTATTCTAGACCCAAATAGAGTCTGAGAAAATGTTTAATATCAGATACTGCCTATAACTAAGCCATATGAATATGCAATATATGCCATTTTCCTTCAATAAATGCAATGAGAGTCTGAGAATTTAATCCATGCGACAATGAGCTCTATTTGTGTGAAACTTTACATGGACACAGGTAGACACATTTCCCCTACATGAACACAGAACAGTTGTCCTTCTGTCACATCTGTATATACTGAAGTTAGCAAAATTTCAGAAATGGTTATTCAGAACCATTCCAGTGTCTTTTAGGACCAGAAAAGCAAGTGTTTGCAGGGCAACGGGCTGCAGGTTCATTTCTTCCTTCGGTGCTGTGTACAGTCTGTACACTTAGCATTAAGGCAACACCACACGGCCAAAGTTCAAAGGACATGCAGTGGTGGAATCACAATAGCTTGGGAATCACTTTGCAGTTATAGGTTGATCGTGCTCATGTATAGGCTTGGAATCCTCTACCTAAGTCTTCTGAAGTGCTTGATCAAGTAGCTATTTCCACATCACATCATTTAGGGACACCTGGATCAATTAAGTATCTATCATTATTTTCTTTTGAAATGTGCATTGAAGAAGACACTGCCCTTTGTAAGGGATTTTTGGAGGATGACTAAGAGAATTTTTCTCACTTTGTAAGAGTACTATTACACCTGCTTATGACTATTTTTTCCTTTTAAGACAGAAAATTGCCTAGTTTCACATAAGGTCCAGATTATTAAAATGCAAAAAATTACTTCTCAGCCACTCTGGAAAAAGATTCAAACTGGAAAGAAAAAAAAAAAGGACAGAAGAAATATCTATATTCATTCTTTGTTTTTTGGTTGCCTTTGAGGGAACTCACACTTGGCATGTTGTGTTTGCTACTTCCTGTTCAGCTCTGAGCTAGTAACATAATGTACAATATGAGTTGGGCACTAATCATCTAACACTGTTCAAAATCCTATTGGGAAGATCAGATGTGGTTATCTGTATGCAATTAGGGTTTTGTTTTCTTTTCCCCTGGACTTGTCCTACGGAAATTTTAATCATATCATCCTGTTTCTAATTTATCTTCTTGGTTGCTACACTGGCCTTGAAGCTTTTTAAACCTTGCTAATAGACGTACTGATCTACTCCAGATAAAAACCATGTTCTGTCTTCCTGGAGGCTTTGTTTTGTATCAGGGTAACTGGAAACTAAGAGAAATGCAGACTAACAATTCATGCTCTCTTATCAGCGCAAAATCAAAACCAGTATCACTAATGCCAACTTAAATACAAGTCAGAAAAGAATTAAGCCTTCCTCTGCATTTATGGTTTGAGAAGAAAACGTTTCCTAATAAGAATAGTTCTAACTTCAAAATTCACTGCATTCTTCTTTTTACATATATAACTTCTGAGGAGTGTTTTCTAGAAAACTGTATTCTGCAGTGTCCACTTAAGATCACTTTAAGGAGCCCAGGAGATACTTGTCCTTTATTGTTGGTTTTACAGATTATGTTAAAAGTTTTCCCACTTGTTTTTTTAAATTTTTTTTTCTAATACAGAAGCTGAAACCCATGCCTTAAAGGAAGCTCCCCACCATACCACACACTCTTTATTTGTGTTTAAGATTAATTGACTGACCACTGCAGAACACATCCTTGGACTTTCTGAAATACATGAAACAAAACAGGGTGAAGAGTAATTATCCTGAGAGAGGCAAGTGATACTGTAAACCTGTCTGGAGGATAGCTGCTATACTGCTGGCTCCTGGCTTTATGTGTGTATGCTACATAAATACAAATGGCATTTACACTTGATTAAAGGTAATATAATAAAAAAGTACAACTTTTTCTGTGTGCATTTTTATATGTGGACCAGAGCTATAAACAAAATGTACTAAACACTTGAAATAGCAGCAATAGCTACATTTTTTCTTCCTGTCATTTAGGTAGCCCTTATGTGGACTGTCACTGTCATGATTATTCTCACTTCTAAATAAAATATAACACTCCCTATGTACCAAATGGAAAGCAGCAGCGTAGGCAAAGTGTGTGCCTATGAGGAGTATGACCTGCATTCAGTTCCTGGCTCTGACATGGGCTTTCTACACAGAAGATCAGATTAACCTGTAAAACACAACTAAGAATACCTTCCCACCTCACCTCATGGTGTGGTAGGGAAAAAGAATAAATGTACTTGTTGCCATGATGAATCCAGATGCTACTGATAGCTGAATATTATGTAAACAAACATAATGAAGAACAGCTCTTATTTTAACTACGTTATGTCAATTTAAGAAAAGCACTGCTCTGTGAGTTGTCTGAACAAACAGCAGGCAAAACCTCATTCAATTCCTGCACATGCACAGCAGTTGCACTGCTAATATTCTACATACTTCAGACACAACCCGACCTAAGTAATTTTTGAAGTATTTCCATAAATCTAGAACTGTTTAAAAAGCTAGCTATATGACTGATTTCGAAAGTAACTCAGTGTCTGACTCTGAAACGGCTCTCAAATCCTGCACAGTCACTGCTCTAATCTTGCACAGTCAGTTTTTAACAGCTTTAGCAATGAGTCATCTGGTATGTATTTGCCCAGGCATTTCCATCATTGACACTTCTAGACTGAGGGAACCAGTTGAAAGCAGCAACACGTTAGTAGCCCCCACTACTTTCCCTGTTTGGATTTTTCCTTTTTTACTGTGCTGAATAAGTGATTGTAGTTGCCCTGTTTCCCAAAAACTAGTGTCTGCAAAATAGGTTATATATGTAAATTATGTAAAACTCTCTGTACACTGCACGATTTCCCTTGGCTATCCCTGTATGACATCAGGGTTCATCTAAAATAGAGCCTGTAATCTTTAAAACTGAGTGAATAGCAGATTGGCAATATGCTAACTCAAGTTAGTAAATATAGCATATATTACCAGCCTAGATATTTTACAAGTGTCATCTCCTAGAATAAACTTTATTGTAGTACTCAGACTAATGTTTCTCTAAGTTATGCATCTGAGGTAGTCAGCATTGTAAAAAAAAGCAAACAAAAGTACAACACTATTTTAAGAGATAAGAGGAGAAATTTTAGTTAAAATATTTCACAATAAAATAATTATGATTATAAATCTCTTCAGTTAAATATATACACATTACACAGTATTCTAAAAAGAATGAACTTATTAAAGTTTCAAGCAGATCTAATGCACAAATTCACCACTTTGTCAGCTTGGACTGTAATGTCAGTTTAACATTCATAAATGGCTGTGTCAGACTAATGGCATTGTTTTGTGCAAAACTGAAAAAAATTATGAAAACCAAGTCCTTCCATTCCCATAGTAAATAGATAGAAAAGGTAGTTTACACAAACACACACTTACACACACAAACTTTGATTGCATACAGAGGTTAGAATGACCAGCACTAAAATAACCCCCATCTCTACAAAATAATTAATGTCTTGAATTGATGCAATATTTGAAAATTACAAATTTTAAGTGCTAGCAAATTGTGCTTTTAGGCAGCCACATGGCCAATAAGGTAGATGTTGTCATAAAGGTGCCCTACAAAATCTTCACTAATATTCTGTGCAGCTCGTCTCGTATTTCGGATGAATTCCCTCTTTGACATTTTGTTCTTCACGTGAGGGCTCGTTAGATCAATTGAAAGTAGAATCAAAGAGTAACACAGTACATAAACTGCATCTAGACAAGAGAGAATAAATAAAAAAAAGTTTAAAGAAGAAATTGTGATCACTAAAAATATTGTTCCCTCTCTAAGAACCTTATGGTCTTCATCATCTGGGCTCATAATTTTGTTTACATATATGTATGTATATATATACATATATAACAACTCAAAGGGGTATCCCAGTGAAATGAAATTGAATACAGAAACTTACAAAGTAATAATGTCAGCACGTTGCCAAATGAGAATTCACAAATCTCTTAATACTTCTACATAATCCAAAAGACACTAAGGGCTTTATGCATGTTCATTTAAACAGCTTCTTGAGGATTTTGTAAACTAAAGCCAATATCCCGCAAAAGCTTATCTTTAAATATGTAAGCAGTTCCACTGCTGAAAACTGCTTCCCCCCAACAAATTAGAAATGCTTGTTAACTTTGATGAGGCCCAAAATTCCCTTTCATTTCTGTGAGACTATCCACAAGATAAAATGTTAAGTGTGTAAGACTTTGCAAGAGGAAATTCAGAGACAGTAAAAAACTCAATTAAAAAGCTGAAGCACAGACAAAAGGGAAGGAGAGATAACATGGAAATAAACTCTATTAATCAGCTAAAAAAAGCAGCTGTACATTTGGGTTTTGTTTGTTTTTGTTTTTTTTTTTAAACCCAATTGGAATTATGACTGTATACTGAACCATGTTTGTACTTTCAGAAATACTTGTTTAGGTGCTGAATTTAAAGCTATCAGAAACAGTAGTAGCATCCAGAAACAAAGGCTGATCCACAGAATCAAAGCTCATTTTTGCTTACCAGGACTAAGGCCAAGTTCTCTCATCAAATCAGGATTACAAGCACAGAATCTGTGAGAGAATTTTGTTATGAGAGTTTCAAGGTACTCCCCACGCTCCTCAGGAGCATGAATGTGTCTGAAGAACTCTCTCAGTGCATTTGGCAAGAACTGATTTCTGAAGTTGTGCAGCGTCACAAGGTCATCCAAAACATCTCGCCTGGTAGAATGAAAACCCACATTATTAGAGAAGTTTCTTTTAACTGTTGAAATATGAAAATGTAGGTTTTAAAAATAAAACTGAAAGCTTTAGAACAGTAGGATCTTTGTTTTCTGCTGATCACTAACAGCACAAAGATAATATCAACACGTTTTTCACTTACATAGTAACCAAATACTATAAAAATATACATTAATCAGAATTCAAAGTTTCTTTATATGTATATTCAATCAGTCTACATGGAGGCTTTGCTTCCTTTAAACCATGACAAAGCCATTAAAAAAGACAGTAAAGGGAATAAATTCACGTGTCACACATTTGGATGCCTAAGTAGAAGCTGCTATAGGAGTGTCTTGTTAAAATCAGGCTTCAGCTAGACAAAATTTGTTCACTTAAGTCCATCAGAGTATGATGCTCTCAAGTGTTTTCCACTGATCACAGAAACTAAATGAATCTAAAGGATTCATACCCACCTACAGATGTCCAAAAGACATCTGAAGACAATTTGGAAACAAATTTGAAGTGAACCAAAGAACATTTTACCATGTTTAACCTAACTTTTATCTTTCAGTACTAAGACGGGAGTTTCAACATTAGAAAACTGGTTTTTATTTTTAGTGTCTGAATACACTCTGTTTTTGAAGGGAAGATGAATGGCAGTAGGGATTGCTAATATTAACTTGCAATCTCATCCACTAAATGGTTTTGTGTATTTTCTATTGACTAAAAGATTGATAATCTGAAGTTTTACAGCACAGGACTGTCAGTGGTGATAACACTACAGAATGACTCCTTTTATTCCTTTAGTAGTACAGGTTGAACAGGATGACAAGCAGGAGGGGATTCCTGCTAGGAAGAACAGAAGGACAACAGCATTTCTATTTATGTGCCTTTATTGTTCTTCTTCTCTTTCAACTTCTGTTGAAAGTGCTGGTGCTCCTCTTTCCTCATACTGTCCCACCCCAACCTGATGGCATAAGAAAGCACTGTAGAGACAGAAGAGCACACTACAGCAGGGAGACTGTTCCTCACTGCAGCTCATGATGCCTCCAAGAGGATGTACCATTGCATCTTAGGAGGTGTTTGTGACTTGCAGTTGAGAAATATCAGACAGTCAAATAATGGTTAGGCGATTCAAAATTAGTTAAAAATCTATCAACCCTTGGTAAAGTGGTAACTATTTTTTCTGATTAATACCCATACTAGATAGGGAAAAAACCCCCTCAAGTCAAAAAAGCAGCAAAATATCTATAAAATCTGAATGTTAAACAGTGCAAAGACTATCCTGTGCAGTTTAAATGCTCACCATAACTTCAAAACAATTTATGCCCAGAACTGCAAAAATGCGGGAAAATCCCAGGATGTGAGACTAATTGTTATAGGTGGTATTTTTGAGGGTTCTTATAACGTGTTACAGTCACATAAATACTTAAACTGAATAACTGTTCAGATTTAGCAGCATCATTTAGTTGCATTTTCTTGCCTTTTTACACCTTTAAAATTGCATCACTACAAACAAAATATTGCTGAATGGTGTTATACATTGAAAATTCATAGAAAATGTTTTAAGAAAAATTCAAATTACCTTTCATCAAGGTAGATTCTCAGCTTCTTCCAATTTAGTGTTCTCGTGCAAAAGATAAACTTAGCTATTTCTTTTGGTGAATCGTCTAATATGCCTTTGGACATAAAGTAGTTGACTCCCTGAGATAAAATACATGTACATATAAATTTGTTTAATCTTCATAATGTAATTGGGAACAAGTATTGTACTTCACAATGTAGGAATGTCATCCTACTAATTAGTTGGGTTGTTTTTCAGAATGAACCCTCCTCCTCTAAATCACATTTCAACATGCACAATACACTCTAAAATTATAAATCAAATGCAAAGAAACAATTTATTGTTATGGTTGAGATTTTACGTTCAGTCTTAGTAGGAAATTTTAAATTCTGAACCCTATGGTTCTTTAATAATTTCTTTACAGTGGAGATAAGTATTTTTATTTTCATACTTTTGTAATAGTATTTAAAATGCTGCAGGGACCATAACTGTGAATTTCATAACTTTTGTAAATAAGAAAATCTTAGCCATAATGTGTTTAGTCTTTAATATCTTTCATTAAAACAGTAATGTTCTCACATGTATACGATGTATCACATTCAAATAGATGCATTAAATGCATTTGTTTAAATGTGTAATAATGCAAATAAACACAAGCACGCTGATTTCAAAGCATAGGTAAATATCAACATATATAAATATGCATACACATAAATAAGAACACTATGCCTAACAAAAATAGTTTAAAAACAGAGGATTGTATATATTTCATATTCATATTATGATTTCCACAATTTTACACTTTTACAAGCATACATTTCTGGCAGAATAAACACGCCAAATTTAATTTTAAAGTATTTCAGTGATATTCGGGATTCTTTCTGGTCATTGAAATATCCCAAAGCATAAAAATATTTTCCTTATGATCTCAGAACCAAAACCCAATTAATGGATTTCAAAAACATTCACATTTTTCAATAACAAAAATATAAACCTGAGAATAACTAACCAACTTGTTCCAATTCAGTTTGGTAGGGGCTGAGAGCGGTTCTGAGCATTTGTTACAAGACTTAAGTACAATATATCTTGACTGTAGAATAACATTGAAATGCAGAACATGTAAGACAGTGCATTTCTGCACAGAACAATGTACCAAGGGCACAACCTAAATCACCTTTAAAATACTTCTGAAATATTTTTTCATAAATCCACTGATATCAGGCTTCCAAATACTTTGCAAGTTTGCCCTTTTAGTTTACATTACATCTATAAAGATGTAGGGGCAACCTGTCATTCAGTGTGTAAGCTAAACTTCCCAGTACTCTTCAATTTTGTGTGAAAAAGAAATAAACGACTGAGTGCAGGTTTGGAGCATTTTAAGAAGCAGATTAGTAAAGCAAAGTCTCAGTTGCATCAAGAAAAAAAAAAGTAATTAGAAAACATGTTTAAGAACAAAAGTGAAAAGCCAAGAAACACCTGTAATATTAACTAGCTATTTTTACCAGTCCATAATTTTTGCTTATTTATTTATAGAAAATATCTGTTAATCAGTATATATTTATTTCATTTAAAAAATGGTTTAGAAAAATAAATCTTGCAATGTTAGGACCCAATTTTAAGAAGAATCTGTATTTAGGACTTGATGAAGCATGTATTGCACTATAAATTTACATTTCAGTCCAAATTAGATCATATTTTTGTCCATAATATGGATGGACAACATAACGTTAAGCACTTTTTTGAATTAGAGCTAAATAAGAAACTAAAAATGGGAGATTAAAATGAACAACTGTGTATTAATTCCTCAAGAATTTTGGCAATTTATGTAAGATGAGCAGCAGAACATCTTTACATATATCCTGACTTAACGAGATTTACGCATTTGTTTCAGTAATGGGTATTTGCTTAAGGTAGTACCAACTGAAGCCTGGCGAGGAAGTCTGAGTAGCATTCCTGCCACAACGAACAAACACTTCTGCAACACTTCCAGGAAATACCTGGCATATCATGGATGAGGCAGGATGAAAATAACACCTTCTTTAAGACAGACAATGGTTTGGTTTCTCTGTGACAGTAAATGCTGTAACTTCTTTCTCATGCACTAGATTGCAACTCAACATCCAATCTTCACCTGATAGGCTATGAGGTGTTTGCACAGCATTTTTATTCCCTGTCTCTAATTCCCTCTCTCTCCCCCACCATACTTAATTCTTGATAATATCTTTCTCTGTGAATGCAGTCTCATTCATTTTCCTCAACTTCTTCACAAGTAAACAGTATAAATGATACTTTACCACATGCCATCATTTTTAGTTGCTTTTTATTTCATTCTAAGCTATCAAAAGCACTTTGCAACAGCAGAAACCTGATTTCTCTGTTAAGTTCTTAAATTTTGTCTCCCAGCAAATGAAGTTAATTTACAAGACTTACAGCATGTCATCGAATCTGCTTTTTGTAGCACTGTAAATACTGCCTGGAAACTCTCTCAGAAACCACGCTTCAAATAGATCTCTTTTGATAGCTGGGATGGTCACTTGTGGCATATATACTAGCTGAAATAAGTAGTTCTACACACTATTAAAACCTACGCTAAGATTATTTATCAGTCAGCTGGTGATTCCCTTAGGAAACATTTGACTGCAGTCAGGTAGGCAGACCTGTGCCACTCTCTGCCAGGTCTGAAGAGGTCTTTTTAACACTTGGGAGACATTGAGGGATAAGCACATACAGTATGTTCTTTTAATTCTGATTCAGAGCAGTATAATGTTCTTAGCATTAGAGAATTAGGAGAGATGCCTCAAGGACACCTTGCCTCTGCGGCAAGAATATTATCACTGAATTTCAGATAGCTCTGGATAAAATATTCATGTATGCAAGTGTTGATTTAAATTATATATGCAAATAACAATCATAACTATAGACTAATAGTAACAACAAAAGCCATTTGTTGTATTTCAGTAAGTTATTTTTTACAGTTGCTCCTTTTTTCCCAAGCACACAATGCTTGTTTTCCCAACCTATTCTGCTACAGCACTGACACTCCTTGCTTGCTTTTCTGCCTGTTTCCAAGAGCCTTTGCATTTGTTTATATCCATATAGGATACCTAAAATGGAAAACTTATTTTTCAGTATTGGCTTCATTTCTGTATTTATTTTCTTCGCTGTTAGGAGTGCTTTCAGAACACTACAGTACAGCAGTCAACATTAAAAGTTTTGTAGTTGCTTTTGACACCTCTGTTTACATATGCATATAAAACAAACCAGTTATTCTAAGTTAATGGCACAGAAATTTTGGAATCAGTGTTTTTCTAGGGAAATGTAGTATCTTTATATAGTTCATGGTGCATCTTCTGGAAAAAATGCACCGTACAGATGAGATATTTTCTACTAGAAATTTTTAAGATTCTTTTACTAAGTAATGAATCAAGTAATCTGGTGACAAACGCGGACACAATATTTAACATACATTTCAAACAGTGTCACTTTCACTGTATGTCTTTAAAATACAGTTTCAGTGATACAAACTTATGATGGCAGAAATTGCAAGTAGAACACAGAAATATTTTCCACATTACACAGAATCCATAACTAATAATTTACAAGATTAAACCTCTCTGACTTTAATGTAGAGTTTTCAAAAGGTTTGAGCTGTATGTTCCCTTCCAACTTTTTTGATAAATCACACAAAAGAACTTCTTCCTCCTATAGCATACACATAATTCTGGTATTCTTCAGACAGATAAATCAATGCATGTAAAATTTGGCTTGCTTAGTAAATGATAATGAAATAGGATAAGTTTCAAAAAAAACTGCTTAGAAATATACAGCACTGTAAACATTCCACCATCTACACACTATCTATAATTAAAAGTCAGGTAAGGTAGCTATATACAAGTGGCAAATCATTTAAAATCAGGAAAAGGTCAGAAAAAACTGACCTCCCTGACAAAAACTAAGGGCAGTTGATAGTGAAGAAGACAATCAGAAGTGCAGAAAGCCAGACTTAGCATAAGCACTGTCTTACTGAACTTTATTATGCTATATAAAGGAAATCACAACCTCATTAAAAACTGACAGGATAAAAAAAATAGATCTTTCCTGACCAAAAGATTTTATTTTGTACCTTCAGTTTCAATTTTAACTACATAGCATAGCTCCACATACTAAACTTGACAATATATTTTGTAGGGAGTTAGAAACTGGATACAAAACAGTGGGAAATAAGTTCTGATTGCTTACAAATTCTGAGTCATAAGCATATGAGATGAAATGAGCACTGCATGAGAAACATTTCACATACACCATACACTCCCCTTAAAATAAAATACAGCAGAGACCATATAGGCAGATTAAACAACATAATATTCATACTCATGTGTTAAAATACTGATACTAAATTCCCCCCTCTCCAAAGAAACAACAAAAACCAGGTTCCAAAATCTTGGCTACAATGGTGGTGCCATATGAAAAAAAAACCAACAAAACCAATCAACCAACCAAACAAAAAAAAACCCAACCCAAACATGCACTGGAGGGGTTTTTTATGTGTAATGTGATTAGGCACACCCTTTCAGCTGAATGTGAGCATTTGCTATGAATTATGCAAGCACATGCACACAATCAACACATTAAATTACAGCAGATATCACAACACCATGCACACAACAATGGCTAACCAGAGAATCCTACCACAAAGTGTGTAGATGCTCTTCCCTACCCCGTGAGCCACCGCTAGCTCTGGAGCTGTTGCTGTGGAGCCTGGTTACCCACTTTCATGACATGGGCGGTGTCCTTTGGAGAATCTTGCTCCTGTGGCTGTAAGTATTCCTATTTTTATAGTAATTTGATCAGGTCTGTTATCAAATGTAAAGCAGAGTTTGGCAGGAAATTCGGAGACACAATTTGTAATAGTGGAACCTCATATCATATAGTCCAGTCACAGTGTCCTTATAATAATAATTCTGCCAATATCACAGTTGTAAACAATAAAAGCAAGTGTTGAAACTCAGGCCCTGAATGATTCCTACCAGGCTATGGTGCTCCACAGGGAGAGAGGAACAGAGCCCTTAGGAGATAACCCGAGGTTCTCATCTCTCATTGAAGCAGACTGTTTGAACTACTATTGTACAATAAAACCATAATGAACCCATAAGAAGCAAGAGGAGCATTATAAAGTTAATACCTAACTTAGGTATACTATAAGTTAGCTCTAATCTGCAGATCTTAATTTCCTTTAAAAATAATGGATTTTTTATTAAGTGCCTTTTGTGAAGGCTCCAAATGCTTTAAACATATGAAGATTACTTTATATAGGGTTGAAATATAACAGCACATTATAAACTAACATAGTTAAGTGAAAAATTATGTTAAAAAAACCTGAAATACAAAGAAAAATTTAGATGGACAAAGTTGCTACCAATTAAAACTTGATATATTATTGAAAACATTTAAGTTACCTAAATACTGCATTTCATTTGAAAACCTTTACATTTTTTACTAAATTTATGAAAATTCTGCTGAAAATCAATATTAATCACTCAAGTGGCAAGGTGCTGATACCTCAACACTGTGTATGAGAATTCAAGGCAGAGTTCTACGAGAGAAATTACAAAATACTCCAATTTTTGATAAAAGTAGTGGTCTCTTGATCAAGCAGAATATGAGATAAAGCAAGAACTTAAGCAAAATCACATTATTGTAATGATTTATTCCACTGCTTTATTTATTTCACCCTGTGGTAACAAGTTCATGTTTTCTGTTTCATATCTGCACAGTGTAATTTGCTTCTAGAAGTATATCTTTTCATATCTCTTAGTCCTTTTCCTACTTTGGATTTATTCAATTACCACTTCCCTGAGTATGCATAATTATATGCAGGAAGTTAATGCTACTTTTGTTCAGTATTACTGTGTACCCTCCTTTCCTACAAAACATTAGGTAGGAGTCTAGCTTTGTAACTTGGGCACTAATTGCATATCTTCCAGGCAAAAGTTGTCTACTTTCATACTCTTTTCTTCTTTGAAAGGTGACAGACTGAAAGAAGAAACTGACTTTTCCAGTTAGTTTCATGAATTAATAAATGCAAACCTTTGACATGGGGTATTTTTTTTGAAGATAAATTTATGTTTTTCTATACTATAAAGATTATGCAATACAAACATCCACAGAAATCAAATCAAACTGAACTTCAGGATAGTTCAGCAGTATATCTTTCTCATAATACTTCAAGATTTGCCCCTTGATAGTAGAAATTAAGTAAAAGCCCCTTACAACAAAACATAATTGTCATAGAAGTAGTCAGACTTAATATCTCATTCTACTTTACCTGAAGTGGAACCAAACTGATACTCTGCGGAAGCATTTTAGCATTTTAATTTATGGAAGTGTATTATTATCCTTTAAAAATTCACCGCTGTCTCTTCAGTTAGGATATGCACCTCGTTCCTAAGTCAATACGTGGTTATGGATTTCTGGCATCCATAGGTCAGACTGGTGTACAGAGTACTTAAGAGGCAAGTCATGTAAATGGTGTGCACAGCTACAATACTCAAAAAAAGACCAGAATAGGGCTGTAGCTTAGTATTAACCACCCCTACAGTAAAACAAACACTTATTAAAACTTGTTTTTTATATAGCTGTAGTTATAAAACAACAATCACAATTATTTTAACTGTTTATTACTGTCATCAACAGTTCACTTACCTCATCAGGGTTGGCATTAAAGGTGAGACTTCCCTCATCTAGCTGCATATACAATTTTCTAAAAGAAAATCCTAGAGGTGGATTCTTATTGTATATAGAACAGTGACCCCAAGTGGATTTGCACAACCTACAAAAATAGAATTAGTCTATTATAAAAATTCTTTTCTGAATTTCATATATTTTACAGAATCAAAATGTAATCAACACTGCAAAGCTAAATACTCAAACTATAGGAAAAGTTAGAAATAGGTTATTAATTCTTTCAGTTATTAAGTCTTTTGCATGTGTGTTGCTACAATCTTCAATTATATGATCATTGTTTTCTTCTCACAGAGGTTTTGGTGTATTTGAGTGCAAACTGGAAACATATCCCAGTAGGTGGCATCATAACGAAATCCACATAGTGGAGACCTCTGGCCCTGGTAGTATCTGAATGAGAACTGTGAGGAGTTGTTCTCCTGCAGTATTATGACAAATAAAACACTGTGTTTCTTTTCTTGTGCAGTGAATGGGACACCACATCTGCACAAAATTATGCCATTAACTCACCACTTTCCCCACCTTTGCCACCAGAATCTTCCTTTTCATGTCTTGGCCAGTCCTAATTACTAGATCTAGTCCCATCCCTCCATATCTTCTAAAACTTCTCAGTTTCTTTCCCTTCCATCCCACCTTGTCTCTGTATCTCAGTTTCATTGGTTTCTGTCCTTCATCTCAGTCTCCTTGACGACACCATCTGAAACTCCCTTTAACTTTCATTTTCTATGCTCTCTAGATTCCTTATTGAACTGGTAGTTTTGCTTCAACACACCTGCTTTGTAACTAATTAGGTACAATGTTTAGGACCAGCAAGGAGCTACTGAGGAATGGCACAGACTTTGTTTTCAGTTCAGAACCTGGGTCTTATTTGGACTGAGTTCGGAACTGCAGCCACAGGACTTGCCAAAGCTTAAATGTATCCAATACATGTGGAATGTTGAAGATCTGTAGATGTCTACAGAGATTATGCAAATTGAGATTTTTATTAATCTGCTAAATCAGGACACATTTTCATTACCAAAGTGCATACTTTGAATGTGACCATTATTCGGAAAGATTTCTCTAAAAATGATCAAACTATTTCCCAGAATGAACTTTGAGGGAAATACATTGGAAGTTTTTTTGCCCCTGTATGTTAAGAATATATACTGCATACAACAAAGAAGCTCTAGTATCTTCAAGCTTTAGCCTAGGGAATTTATTTGTATTTAGGGTGGGTTTGGTACCAAGAAGTGAGCACAGTACAATGTGTACTGATAAACTTAGAAGGTTACTGGTATCCTTCACTGGAATTTCTATTTCCTGTCAATACAACAATCCCAGAACAATTGTGACTAAGAAAGTATATTGCATTGTCCTACTGCTAGGTTTATAAAACAGGATAGGAAGGGAAGCTGCTTAATCCAAACGCAGAGGGGCAAGGAAATACATAAGGAAAGGAAGAGATGTAGAGCACAATGAAAGCAAAAGAAACAACCTGAACAAAACCCTAACTATTACAGATACAGTACCGTTGGTTAAGGGGTAAGAAAATGTGAAAGAAGTTACAAGTTTTGCTAACCATCTACTCTGAAGATAAGTATGACTTCATGAGTCTTTCCTAGTGTTGTAAAACATAAAATATCAAAGAAAATACTGTTAATTACATTTTGATATTACAGTATTTTGTATGAAAGAATGTTCCTAGACATACAAGCTCTGCACATGTTTTACATAAATGTGTTTATATCTAGACTGCAGACATTTCACTTGAGAAAAACCAGCCTTTTTTTTCCCCACCTCCATAACTGTCTTCCGAAAAAACATACACCAAAGTTGCTTGAAGACAAGTATAGTAGATGAGTTATCCTGTCTTTTCATTTGGAAGTTTTTCTGAATAGCATTGCTCGCTCGAGCTACACACTGGTTTGAAGTTCAGAGAAGTAATACAAACATTTGAGATGTGCTTTGAGCTAACACCAAAGTGAAAACAAGTCCCTTTTTTCCCCCATAATATGCCAAACAATAGATGTGTAATAATACACTTGTGCCAAACACACTTGTGTATGTAGTAATCTCCAATAATACCCAATAGTAATTAGAAATCCAGAATAACACATTTTTAAACTTCCTCTATGTCAAAACTCATTTAACTTAGGAATCCTTTGCTAAGGTCAGAGTGCCAAAAAGCACTTACTGAGACAAACTTAAAATCTAATTATTTTTATAATGTTCAGGTCACACTTTTTTGTTCATGCTTACCCTTGCCAGAGGAGCTCATCATTAGCAAGATCCTGCCAGACACATGAAGCTAGACAGAGGTCAGTTGCGTTCAGGTATGATAAAATGGTAAAACTAAGCTCTGGTGGCAGCATTTCCAGGTTAATGAATCCTTCTTGTTCTTTAGATTTTCTTGTCTTCAACAGGTGGTAGATGTCAATGCCTCCTTGGGCTTGTTTGCGATGGCTTGTATTGGAAACGTTAGCAGCTACCCTCCTACCATGCTCTCTGGTAAGATAGCCTGGTCGACTGTATCCTTGCTGTTGCAATTGCTGGTTCCTAGCAACTCTCCAGAGTCCCTGACCCATCTGCGAGCCTGCTGGACATAAAATCCAGATTAAATGTTGACGGTTATTAACAAACATTTGTAAGACAGACTCAGCACACACTGCAAAATAAAACTGTAGGACTGATCTGAATAGATAAAAAATGAGTTTTGTCAAAATTATGGTGACCGTGTCACCTGTCTTCAAAAAGCAACTGAAAAAATACTGAAAACAAACCCCATAAAACAGCCTAGATTTGTTCAAAAATTTCCATGCTTGAAGAGTTACAAAATTAACAATAAGCTTCTGCAAAGAGTACCAAATATTATCTATATCCTATGCAAGTCAAGAAGCCTCAAGCTTCAGAACATTTGGAACCTTTAGACTTCCTTTAAAATTTAATAAAAATATCCCATTTAGCATCAATGAAGCACTATAAAATATAAGGAAAAACAAAAATGCCCTGAATATTGGGTAGCACACAAGATGAGGTTGTAACTGACACTGAAACAAAGTTTCATGACTTCAATGATAATGCAGTAAGGATTTTGGGTGCTTAGAAACAAGAAAATGAGTATCTTTTCAAGCTTTCTTGCCTAGTGTCCTAATATAAATCCTTCAGAATAACATACTCACATACTTAAAAAAGAGGACACCACTGCAGAAATAGTATAAAACCCCTTTTTGTAACGTAAAAAAAGACTAAAAAACACATTCGCTACTTTAAGGACCAACTGAAGAAATTTCAGAGAAGAAACAAAGTGAGACACAATTTAAACCATTCTAGAACCAGCTGCTGGAAATCCACAAGGCTCCAATATGCGTGTAGCTATTCAGCAGCTTATATGCTAGTTGTTAGAACACATATAATCTTCCTCATCATGTTATTACTTTCAGCTTTGTAGTAATTCAGGAACATTTTCAGAACACACTTGTAACGCAAGATGAGCAAACCCACTGTTATAATAAAGTCTTTTAAGTAATGGTGTCCAGAAATATATTTTTAAATTATTTTGAACATACATTTTCAATCTCCAGATTCAACAAGCCCCTCAAACGTACGTTTTCAAACTTCCAATAATGTAACTTTATCTAGGAATTGAAACCTTGATAGCTTGGCTGTAAAAATAACCAAGCTTGTTTCTAAATTGCTGATCTTTTCCGGCTCTGTCTGGTATCTATCAAAGGCTGATTTAAATTCTAATTGTGTCTTTTTCATGTTACTTTGCTACTACATAATAAATTCTTTAGCAGTGTTGACAAGCACGATAGGATACTAAAAGCAATCTTGATTAATGATGCATTAGCACCGGCTTCTACTTCGTTAAATAAAAAGCAACGCGCACTCTTGATCTAAATGCTCTCCGCTTTATGGCAACCGAGCCTTGTGGCTGCCACTTTGCAGCCCCAATCATCCCCACAGGAGAACGTTCCTTCCTTCGTAACCGAGGCCCGTAACCGTGCGAGTCCTTCAATCCTAAAGGGCTTCAAACTGACTCCGGGCAACCAGGCTGGCGGGCGGAGGCATAGCCCGTCCCGCAGGCCCAAAGCCGCCCGGGTCTCGAGGAGCTCCGCAGCCGCGCTGCTCGCCGCCGCCTCGGGCCGCGCCCCTCCCCGCACAGGGGCTCCGGGAGCCCGGCCGGGCAGGGCGGGCGGGGAAAGGCCGCTCCGCTCCCGGTGATGCCGCGCCCGGGCCCCATTGGGCCGCCCCCAAGGCCCCGCTCCCCATTGGCCAGGCCGCCCGCCCGCCCGCCCCCCCGGGGCACCGCGGGTCGTACCTGAGCCAGCCCGGGTCCCACCGCCGCCGCGACGAGCCCGGCCCGCGTCCGTGCGAGAGCCTCGCCGGGCGGGAAGGGGCTGCGCGGCCCCGGGGAGAGGCGGGGGCAGCCGGAGGGGCGCTAGGAGGGAGCCTCAGCAGGAGGACGCACCCGCCGCCCCGTGTCCCCACCGGGCCGCTCTGACGGCTGCTGTTGTTGCTGGAAGTGACGTCACCGCGGGGGGGCGCGGGAAGCGGAAGTGGCCGTTGGGCTCGCGGCGGCAGATTCAGAGTGTGCCCGGCTCGGCTCCCAGGGGGAACAGCGGCGCTCCCGGCGGGAACTGCGGGGTTCTTGCAGGGGGTGCGCCTGGCGCGGGTGAGCGTCAGGATCCCTCCCGGGGAAGGAGTTTGTCCCAGCCGTGCGGGCCGGCTCCAAGCGCAGGGTTCTGCCTCTCCCCAGGGCCGGCGAGCCCAAGGTGGGGAAGGCCCGGCCTCCGGCCTGTCCAAGGGTGAGGGAGGGCGGATGTGGAGCCGGCCCCAGTCCCACTCTGGCGAGTTCGCCGCAGCGCGCCTTGCCATGTCCTGGCGGGGACACCCGTTTTTCCCGTTGGAGTTGCGGTGGCGCCCAGGGCAGCCAGCCAATGACACGCAATTCCTTGTGCGGTTCGCTCCTGTGCGAGTGGCCTGTGTGCTCCAAGTGCGACGGTGGCATCTGGCACGATAGCAAAATCCACTGTTTCTCGGTGACGTTTTTGCGTCTCTGCATAATGGTGCGATTTTCCCTTAGTTCCCCACCCCATGCAAGAGGACACTCAAGATACAATTAGAAGAAATCAGAAACGTATTTTGTTAGGCATTTCAAAGATAATGCTTACAGTGTTAAGATACTTGGTAACCTGCGTGGGGTAGTTATTTTGGTTTTTTTTTGTTTCGGTGGTTCTTTGGTGTTTTTTTTTTGTTTGTTTTATTTTACATTGATTCTTTGAATACCATATGCAATTTTGAAGAATTGTTCTTTGATCCACTTGCACTTCTGTGTTATCATATCTTAAAACTTTGTTGTACCGATTTTATTCTGGACAGCCAATGTTCTGTAGATGTTCTGTCACGAATTTCTACGGGCATAAGTTATGTGCCACTTTTTACTGTGTTGAAAGACTTCTACCAACTTCACTGTTATTTTTATGACCTCAAGCTATTTTGTTTTGTAGTAGTAATAGTAGTTTTTTTGTTTTATTGTAACAGTAGTTGCTGGTTTAACATCCAGAGGTCCAGTGTAAAAAGGATAGTAAATACTTTTGGGAAACGGCCTGTATGATTAGACAAATTCCTGTGAGAGTATCTTCTGTGAGTATTTGCATTGCAGGTTAGAGCTCCATTTTTATATCAGACTCTTTGAGACTTGTCTTAAGATGTAATTAAACTGGCAAAACCCTAGGATGGATCACTTTGTAAGGTAATGCAGGAAGAATAGCTGCCTCAGTTTCCAAATTGGTTAAATTGCCCCAAACATTCAACAGCAAGTGTTGCGTACTTATATTTAGCACATCTAATAACTGAGAACCTAATGATTAAATTGAAAGAACCCCATAATTAAATAGGAAGAAAATACTTTAAGAAGGGCAGAACACATGCAAAGAGCTTGATCTAGAGGATTGCTGAAGCACAAGAAGAAAAACACCCTCCACAAACCCAGACCATTAATACAAGCCTTAACTGTCTTTTGAGACCGTTGCTTCATTTATAGGTTGTCTCTCAGTGCCCCTTCACTGCTTGGACTGGTAGGCTTCAAAGTACTTGCTTTCTGGCAAGAAAAGAAATTCGGTGGAGACAGTAGCAAGCGATTATCTCCCAGGTTTTAGCAGGAAGTTGAACAGTGATTTTTCTATTCTAAGGCTTTATAACTGAAGTCATTACTCTTTAACTGAGGCTTTTGTGGCAAGTGCTGTAGAGGATTAAGCCAGTCACAAGCAGATCTTGAGGATGTGAGGAAGAATGTTCTTTGAGAGGTGTCAGCTTTCTGTATTTCTGTACTTCAAATTTTAGGCTTTTTTTAATCTCCTCTAAATGATTTAAAAAACACTGACTTTGATAGTTTGCTGATAGGCTTTCTCAAGTTCTGTCAGTCTGTCCAGGTTGTTAAGATGCAAGCATTTGTTTTCAGTTGTGACTTAAGAGCTGGGCTATGATCCAGTCTGTGCTCTTAAAGTTTTGTATTGGAGAAGAGCTAATATTGGTTACATATAAACAAATGGTTGCAAGGTACAGTACTCTTAGGCTGTCTCTAAATATAAATTTATTTTCAAGGATAATTATTAGTACTGATATTTGAAGGTACTGCTTCAGGTGTTTCATTTTACTATCTGCCAGCCAGGTAGAATTACCAGTACTTTTATATCTCTTATGGCAATTTTTAATTTCTTTTTTTTTTCTTGTTTTCTCCCCAGTCTTCTCTTCTTTCATTTGACAATTTACTAATCAGTTCTGTTTGGTACAACATACTAAAAGTGGGTGCTTCCTGTACTTAATTATGCCTTTGATAGATCTAAAAACTGATTTGGATGTTGGCGGTTTCATGCTTTGCTGATTCTCTTTTTTATTTTTTTTCTTTTTTCAGTCTTCCGTTTCCTTGTGGGATAGTTCTCCAGGAAGAGAGCTTTTTGTAGTTTGCACCAAGTCCTTAGATTCTGAAGTCTCTTTCTTCTGCAAAGCAAAGCTTACAATAAATTAAAAGCGGATTCTCAAATTGTATGTTACAATGTAGAAGTTAAACAAGGACTTTTTGGTTATCATCCCAATAAACTATTTTGCCTAAATATCTAAGCACTCTGTTACCCCCTCTGCCTTAACAATTTTAAGTGTATTTGATGGATTGTCTAAATATGTATTATCTGTGATGAGTTACTAGTCCTGTCTTCTAATGTCTGCACAGCCAAACATTGCTCTTTTGGCCAGTGAGCTTAGGGCCAGGTGAAGAAAAGAAGCGTTCTAAACTGAAGAGTGCAGAAGCTTTTCACTACTTGTGGAACTTCTGCTCCTTTGAAACAGCCAAGAGACTTGTTTTCATTCAGTTTTAGTGGATTTAGCCAACACTAAATTCTTAATATGTTTTCAGATATCTTTAAAACTCTTTGGTAGTTGATCACATTGAGGATTACTGCTTGATCCTCTTTTGAATGAATGAAGATGATGCCTGGTATTAACTGGTATCGAGCTGTAGTTCTGTGCTGTATTGTAATGCTTTGGAAATAGTAGTGTTTAGAAAGAGGAGCAAAACCCTTTGAATTTCAGTGGTAATTCTATTGCATTTTGTAATTTTTGTGTACATAATTTTTTTAAAGGGGATGTACTTTTTTACATTTATTTCATACTGAAAGAAGAATAGCATTTGGAATAATGGCAACAGGAGACCTAAATGGAAGTTTAAGAAAAATAGAACAAGGACTTCGCTTGTTAAGTTATCCAAGAGATGTGGATTATACAGTGTAAGTGGCAGTGTGAAAATTTGAGCTAATACACGATGACAGCAAGATGTGTAAACAAGCTATGTATAAATATTAGCATTACACATAGTGATGAGTAAGCAGAGCATATGTCTGCGGGAAGCTGGGGTTTGGTGAATGAGAAGTGGAATACGAAAGGGTGCATTTTCCTCCTCTGAGCAATCCTTAGAATAATCCTGAAGTATATCACTGTCTTGCTCTTCTGCTGTTCTCTTTTCTTCAGGTGATATCTCACCTCTGTAATTTCTTTCTAAGTGCTTGCAAAACTTCATTCAGGAAGTTTCATCCTGTAAAGATTAAAAAAAGGTGTTGAATGTTGAGCTGAAAATGCTGGTGGGCTTTAGACCTGTCGATGTTTAAATTATGTGAAGATCACAAGAACTTTTTTTTGAGCATTATACAGATAACAGTGAAAACTGCTGAATGATATATGCCTGGACAAAAAAACCTTAAAATGAAAGAGATACTTGGATATAACTTGCTGGCTATATTAATGCTTTTCAAGTTAAATGTTTGAATTCATGTAATGAAAGGCTTTTGTTATCTTCTACTGTGTAAAATACTTTTGTTTCTTAATAGGTTAGTAAAGGGTGATCCAGCTGCATTTTTGCCTATCATCAGCTATTGTTTTACTTCTTTTTCAACCTGCGTAGCAGAGCTTTTGGTAAAGTGTGATGTGGAACTGACAGCAAAGAGTGACTTGCGTTTTATTGAAGCTGTTTATAAGGTATCTGTCTTTGTGTTCTTTGTAGAAGAAATGCAGTTTTGAGTATAGCCTCACAAAAATTAAACATCTACTATGAGTTTTATTAGAAAGTGAAAATTTTTGGCAACAAGTGTGAACTGTAGCTCTGTTAGGATTTAAAATGAGTAATAAGTCACTGTGTGGCAAGGGTTTAGGTTTTCCTGAAAATAAGGATGAGTGGTGTTAGCCAACAGTCTTTCTATTTTGAGATAGTTGCAGAAACAGTAATAATGGTTTTTTGTTTTAAAGAATACTGAAATATTTATTACCTAACAAGGTTTATAGATGTGACCTTGGAAAAAATCATACCACCAAAAAAAACCCCACATAAAACTTAAAAAATTGTAATGAAAGCACAATTAAGAAATATGGCTATTTTAAAACTGGCTATGCCATTTTAATCTATGAACTCGAATACTTAACACTTTATAAGTTGGAATCAAGTTCTTAACTGATTGAAAATAACTTTAAACTACCCTTAAAATATCCATAAGCATGTTTTTAGAAAAGGTGGCTTGATGTATTA